CACCAGCCAGTTGCCCTACCCCCGTGGCAGCTCCCGCTGGCCTCCAGGCCTCCGTGGGCGTGGGCTCCCAACGGGAACGCCCCGCCCCGCTTCCCTCTCCAGTGGCCGCCCTTCCTCAGACACAGCTCATCGTCCTTTCCTCAGAACCTTCCACTTCCCCTGGCTGAGGGGACAGCTGCCCACTCTGCGTCCCTGTACCCCACCCACGGTGACTCTGGGACTCTGCATCTGGCTCTAAGCTTGCAGCCCCCCTCGGTGCCCGCTGAGCTTCCCTGGGTGTCTGCTAAGCCAGCACCTGCACATCCCAGTCAGCTGATCTGTGAGCCTCACTCTGGTCTGAACCTCAGATCCATGAGTTCCCACCTGCGTGCCTTGAGCCAGTGACCTTTTCAAAAACCTAACAGATGGCAATTGTATGAACTTGGGAGGGTACCGTGTAACTTCCAGCTTAAGAATACAGCGCACAGTGGTGAGATTGGGGTGGTCTGTACCCCGTCACCTCAGCTGTTTCGTTGCTCTGTGTTGGGGACGCTCTGGACCCTCTCAGTGACTCTCGGCGATCGAGCCGGCTCTCTAGGGCTGTGGTGCAGGCCAGGTGTATAGACGCACACCCAGGACTCGGCGAACGCTGTGACGCTGGCGCCTTTTCTGTCCCTTGTCCCTGGCGTGGGGCCACGTGCAGTAGCCCGTGGGGTGAGCTTGCTGCACTGACTCCGTTCTCCTGTTTCCAGAGCTGGACCGAGGCCTCACCGAGCCCCAGATCCAGGTCGTCTGCCGCCAGATGCTGGAAGCCCTCAGCTTCCTGCACAGCAAGAGAATCATCCACCGGGACCTGAAGGCGGGCAACGTGCTGATGACCCTGGAGGGGGACATCAGGCTAGGTAAGGGCGCCGCCGGGCGAGGACGCCCAGGTGGGACGACAGGGCCATGTGCGGCCTGCTGGTGGTGAGTGTGGGCTCCCCTCCCCCAACCCCAGACCGAGTACATCCCATGGCTCAGGCTAGCCTGGGGGTTCTCGGCCCAGGGCTATTCTGAACAGTGGCCAGTGTCTGGAGACAACTTCTTTGTCACAGGTCAGGGTGGGGACTGTTGGCACCGAGTAGCAAAGGCCAGGGTGCTCCCAAACACCCAACTGCACAGAGCGGCCCTTCCGCGCAGGCTGCTCCTGACCAGCGCACAGCAGTGCTGGGCAGAGCACCCTGGGCTGGGGCCTCCGCCCTGCTTCCACTGGAGATCCCGAGTGACAGCCGCGGGGGGAGGGTGCCTGTGCACACCCTTGGGTAGAAAACAGCCGTGTGCGGACACTACTGGAAACCTTCCTTTTTGGTGTCCCCTCTCCTTTCTATTTTAATCCTATTTTTTTTCTTAACCAAAATAACACATGTGTGTCTTCTGCTCCTGGTCCCGCCCTTTGCTGGGCACCTCGAGGCAAAAAAGCACTTCGAACCGTCTCCTCTTTCCTTCTGCGTTGTAGACAATATGCCTACACTGCGTGTCTAAGAGGAATGATTTTTATTGGAAGAAAACTACGTGCTTATTATGTAAAATCTACAGTGCACGAAGGTTTCCAGGAGAAAGCTAGAAAGCATCTCTAGTCTCATGATCCAGGAACATCCGCCTGCCTTGGCCCTGCTGCTGCCCCAGAGGCCTCGTTGCAGCTGTGTTGGTAGAAGAATGTGGGGGGGGCTTAGAGAAAACGGTGGTGAGAGCGAGGTGGTGCGCTCATTGTGTGTGTGTGTGTGTTTAATGTTCCATTACTTGGTGCGCTCATTGTGTGTGTGTGTGTGTGTGTTTAATGTTCCATTACATTTACATTGAGTTGTTCATCTTCGTAAAGTACAGTAAGGGTTGTCTAAGCACGCGTGCAGTGAGTTAACCAGTCCAGGGTACTGCGTGATCACCGTTGGCCACAGAACTCCGCGTTACGATGTGCTGCTAGTTCTCGCTCCGCCAGTTTCTGTGTTGGAGATACACAGATAAGGTTGGCGCTATCTGTTCCTCTCACTCTGTTGTGGTATGCCGTTCTGCAGCCCACTTGCCCTGTCCCCCAGCATTCCTGTGTCTACTAAATGCTTTTCTCCTGAGCCCTTCCAACCCCCACCCCACCCCACCCTGGTACTCTGGTGTACTTTACTACATTTAACTCCATTTTCTTTGAAATTTTGCCAGAAGGCGTATGCAGTTAACAGAGACAGAGAGAGAGAGAAGGCACCCCCTCTCGTGGGGAATGGTCATGCTGCAGCCCCTTCTTTTGGGATTTTGAGCAGACATGCACATGGACCTGATCCGTTTTTCGAGCTGCCTGGTCCCGGACTCAAACCATGTCGTCAGCCCTATAGCGTCCAGCTGCCGTGGCCACCAGACCGTGGGGCCGGGCGTAACTGCACGCTCTGTGCGGTCTTTCTCTGGCGTGGTAGTCCACTCCTCTGTCTCCCCGCCCCCATTCCCTCAGCCCTGTGCCCTGTCGACACAGACAGCACCGCTGGAAGTTGCTCGCGTGACTACCAGGTGTCTTCAGGGAGCATTTTAACTGTGTCCACTTGCACCGCCACCGAGTCCCTGTGACCCACAGCTGCCAGGAGGGTAATGAGGGTCAGGACGAAGCTGGGGACAGTGCGATCAGAGATGTCCTCTGCAGCAGGAAGCATCTCTGCTTAAGGGATGAGAGAGGGCAGGGACGGCCCAGGTCACAGAGCTGGTGAGGACAGACCCAGGGCTGGCCCCGGGTGCCGGCAGGAGCAGGCAGCAGGGTCAGAGTGCACAGGGACAGGCCATCTGTCCCCCGACTTGGGCGGGAGCTGGTTTCGAAGCAGCCATGTGTGTGAGGCAAGTTTGATCCAAGCAGTGTGAGGACAGGTCTTTGCCAGGGGGGCGAGGTCGGGCCCAGGAAGAAGGAGCGTCGT